GGACGTCGAAAATTTTAGCAGTGATAAAGTTGAATAAGTAAATAGAAAAATGATGGAGCAAAAAAAAAGGTGTCACAATCGTTCAGTCCTGGTAACGAGTTGCGCTACACATTTGCGTTTAACCTTAAACTGAGGCAAGCGCAGTAGCGCGAAAGCGACGGAGAGAGAGAGAGAGAGGGACGAGAAATAACATAATCACCGGGTGAATTAGCCGCGGCAGCCAAGTGGTTATTTCATACTTTTATGCAACGAGACAATCCCAACCGAGCGAGCTTGGCCCCGTTGCGCGGCTCGACGCTCGCACACACGTACACACGCTCGCCCTTGCATGTTGTTGCATCCATAGCACGCCGTATTACATATGTACTTATGTACCGACGCGCTTCTTTTCCAGTATATTCCAATGTATCGTATTATATACACCAAGTGCAGTAGAGAGAGAGCAGCCGATGCTCCAGAAACCTACATTTTCGCAGTTATATGCACACTTTTCTGGGCTATCTATATAGCAGCCGCGTCACCGTGCATCGCCAGCCACTATCTCTGTAATGTCGCATTTAACATCGACGACAGTGTTATACAGCTCGAGCGATTATCGTTAAGTCTGCTCTCTCTCTCTCTGCCTCTTGCTCTGCATCGGACGAGGATTAGAAAGGTCTATCGAGTTTATGCACCTTAAATCGGATCAGCTGCCGTATTAATACGTACGTTACGAATCCGATCGTGTGCACTACTGCTCGTGTCAAAGCTCGCGATTCGAGGGATACATGATGTATTGTGACCTATGGGGGGAAAAATGGCGCATTTCTCAATCTTTCGGACAGGAAAAAAAAAGGAACTGTATATTTCAGAAAAATCTCTCGCAACAAGCTGGCACCGCGCTGTGCGTTGCGCGCGCGCGCGTTAAGTAATCCACAGTCGAGTACGCGCGCGGCAACTGTATCACATTCTTCTTTTGCAAGCTGCTGCTGCTGCTGCTGCTGCGCGCACGCATATATGTGTATCTGTGTGTATGCGCAAGCCGATGAAGAAACGTTTATGCCATGGCAAAAGAGAGAGAGAGAAAGAGATCGAGGGGGGTCTAGCATGCAAATTGCAGTTCTGTTTTCGCCACTTGGCGCGAGACTATAATAGTCGGCCGAATCTTCCGAATCTTTCGATCGAACGGCGCAGCGACGATCGTACGTGAATTTTGCAAGCTCGCGCGAGAGACGTATCATATAGGCGTCCCCGCGCCTCCGACACACAATGTTATTTAGCAAAGAGTGCCAAGAGTTTATGTCGCAGATATGATACCGTTGCTTTGGACCCATGGCGTACACTATACCACAGGCAGCGCACACACGCGTGCACCTACCTACCTACCTACCTACCTACCTACCTATAATACTCGGCCCGAGCTCGAGCGAGAAAGAGCCACACATGCACACGTAAGTGACGTAAGTCTGCTGTATGCGCGTCGCAGTCACCGCGCGGTATACATGTCGAGCAACGGTTGTTGAGAGCTGCTCTCGAGTGCGCGCAAACGGTGTCGTCTCCTCAGAGAGAGATCCCGAGAGCGTGCGAATAAATTTGCATCGACGAGAGGGAGCAAGGAAAAATATAAAGAGACAGAACGAGAGACCATCGCGACTGTATTGGATACGATTGCACGTCGAGAGGCTTTCGTTGCTTCACGCGCGCGGTATTCCGATCTCGACGTATTATACACCGTCGAGCAATTGATGTTTTCGCTTGCAATATTACCAATATGTATAAGTGCGCTATGCGATTCCAATAGCTACTGTATTCGTTATGCGATATAGCGATCGCGTATACGTGTACGATCATACGTATTTATTATGCTCGCACGCGCGTAATATGTATAAAATAATGCTCGAGAGGCATAAACGAGACTATAAAATCCATTAGCTCGCGAACGAGTCTTGCGCACAGCCGCACGACGCGAGTAATCCAAGAGTATAACGCATCGAGTGACATTTCAAAAGAATCGATGTACGTAATATTTTACCCCTTCCCCTCTCTCTCTCTCTCTCTCAATATACAGGATTATCATTGATTTTTCCCCCTTTTATCGTATAGCTCGAGCGGATGAAAACTTCGTTACGCTTTGTGTTTATTAATATAATGTCGAGACTGCGTCTTGGTAATGACTCAAGTTCATTTATCGCGCATAGGCACCTGCGAATACAAATACAATTATCTCGCGCAATTACCAACCGCGGCGTTATATTACAAGAAAAGAAGGAGGATTACGACGTCCCATCGTAGCGCAATGTCCTCGAGGCTAATTTTGAAATTGTTTATAAACCTTTGTAACGCGTACGGCGGCAAAGCTAAACATCGTAACTCTGTCGCGTTGTCAATTTTCAAGACGCGCGATGATTCTACGATATTTGTGCGATATACATTTCGTGATTTAAATTTTCACCTTCGCAGAACGCATACGTACGTATCCACACACACACGATTAGCCGCAAAGGACGAGAAACGCACGACATATTTACGCGTCTACTATAATTAGACTCGCTCGGCTACGCGTATACGGATTTTCACGTGTTCGGAGCGTATGAATTTTGCGTAATTCGTCACATGGAGCTCGGTAATAACGAATCATCATTATTATTGATGATGCTCGGCTCGGGCTCGTTTTAGTCGCGCGGCCGGGATTATCAAATGCCTCATGCGCCCGCAGTTTGCACTACTGCTGCTGATTTCGAAATCGGACTGGCTGCTGCTGCTGCTGCAGTGCACGTTTTTTCGACGAAAATTCCTTGCCAGTGTACACGTGTCGTAAGCTGAGAGCTGGCTCTCGTTTTTTTCCTCTCTCTCTCACTCTTTCTATATCTATCTCGTCGATACAAGATCTCGTCGTCGTCGTCGACGACGGCGACGCGACTAAACACGTGCTGCGCTACATAGGCTCCATATAGCTGACGGAGGAGAGGAGAGCAGTCACGCGTTCGGATCGAGCAAAATTGTCAATACGTATCGTGCAGCGCGATAGTACCCCGCGCACATTACGCAATGGAACGAGAAAAAAAAAGTTATAACAAAATGGAAAATTAACGAATGAGCCAATCAATCGATACCAAGTCTATCGCATTTGTCGTAATAAGCTTATGGCACGAAACTAGTTCATGAATAGTCAAAGTCAAACGAAATTGTGCACTGCGCATATAATATTAGGTACGTAGTCGCGGTATATAGAGACGTAAGAAAAAAAAGCGCCAAATGGCGGCGATTACGACTCTCCGTATGTGTGAGTGTATGTTGCATTGCGCCGTGTAGTACAAGGTTTCGCAGGCATAAGAAAAATTATGACACTCTAAGCGCGCGCGGCACAACGGGTGCGTATATACACACAACCTATTACCCGACTTCGTATTACTATCTAGGAGCTCTGATGTAATAGCCGCTATATAACGAGCCGCCGCCGTCGCTTGATAGTTCTAACCTTCGGACGAGAAAAATTTTTCGCAAAACTTTGTAATATTACATTGAGCAAGCCTAAGCCTAAGCGCGCGCCAAGCAGCTCCACGGCGCGGCTTCAAATTCAAATTTTTATCCGCCAACTGCTGCTGCTGCTGCAGTTTGTGTGTATATTATTATATACATGTGACTAATGATAAAGGTTTGTATGTGTGTATAGTGCAATTTTCATTTGCGCAAGTTTTACACACGCAATTCAACGGCGGCTAACGCGGCCCGAGCCAGGGTAGAAAAGTCCGACGCCGCACGCCGCTGCTTATACGTATATAGCTCGTGAGCTATACACAATTTTTCACGCGTTGCGCTATCATCGTCGTCCCCCCCGGTTAATTAGACTGTTTTGTAAGCGTGAGAAAACTCAAAGAAAATGTAAAAAGAAAATTTTCCTTTATCTATCGGCTCTCGTCGAACACAATGGGTCCCGACAATGCCAGTTGCAACACGGACAGACACACAGCATCGACTCGTTCCAATTCGATCGAGCTTCGCGTTAAAAGCGCTTTTATCCCCGCCGAGCAATCTCTGAAAAATATTATTGCGGTGCTGCGCGACGACACGCGCAACCTCGGGCCCGCGGAATTTCGAAGAGATTTCCTCTCGAGCTGCTGCTGCAAGACGAAGAAAAAGACGAGCATCGCAGCGGAAGCAAGGATACTCTTTCGTCTCATAAATTCTGCACTTTCGGAGTACCGACTGCGTGTGCTGGCTCCGGCGCATGTAAAATAAATGAAAAAGGCATGCGCGCGGCCGCTCATATATGGGGTGTGCGTGTGCAGTTAAAAATATACGTCACGCACCGACTCGAAGATCGAGAGAGAAAGAGAGGAAGTCAGGCACTTTGTGCTCGCTTTATAATTTATTTACGCTTTCTGTTAGAACGCGAAGATCCTATACGTGTATGTATAAATAAATACCATGCCTATTATGTATTAAATTTGTCACGCGGCTCTCTATGGATGCCGGTCTCTCTGTCACTTACGTCAGCCTAATAGAGTAGTATAGACAGAAACACCATCGAATCGAGCACGCGCGGCGACTATTATAAATACACACACACACACACCGCGAACAATGTGTGCTCCTAACGCAACACACAACGTACACAAACCCGTTCACCAACCTTCAATATTCCCGCTCTTGCTCCACTTATGTGTGTATTATATGTACGTACGCGCGCAGAGGGGAAAGGCAAAAATCTCGCGCGCAGGCAATTAGACAGGACTCTGGCTCCGCGACTTAGCTGCAAAACTCCGAGCAGCCGTTTCTTGATTATTATACACGTATATGACGAAGATTTGTTCGAGCTAGAGTGCGAGAGAGAGAGAGAGAGAGAGAGAGAGAGAGAGGCAGGATTATGTCACGACGGCGTTTGAGAAAAGGAGAGGCAAGGTGATACCAACGTGGCGCGGGCCGTGAACTTTTTCGTAACTGCTGCTCCTGCTGCCGCTATGTAAGCGCACGTGACTCAATTGTGCTGTGATTGTGCAAAATGAATTCAATGCTTGGCGTTTATTTGGTTGTATAGTTTTTTTTGGTGGGGCTCCGAGTATCGGAGCATCTTTTATTAATTAAAAAATTATTTTTTCATTCATTCTTAATGATTTTACATGAGATTTAAGATACATATTTTTGATACTTTGGTTTTACAAGATTAAAAACTTAAACATTACCACGCTTTGGTTTTATGGACTTACGAAATATTACAAACTATAATACTTTAACGGTAGTCTTTAAAGCTCTTTAACTTACAAACTAACAATACTATTTGTCTTTGGCTTAAAATAAAAACAAAGTTTCGTCCGACTATATCACCTATGACTCAATTGATTAACTTAAATTTAGACCATATTGGTAAATAACATCTGCTAATACTGGTGATAAATTCGGTAAAAACTTAAAATTTTTAAAACAAACTTAAATAGGAAGTAAAGCCGGTTGACTAGAGTTTGGATCGACGATACAGATGTACCGAAAGCTCGAGCGGTTTTCTGAAAAAGAGAGAGAGAGAGAGCCGTTGATAGATTTGAAAATTTTCAACTCTGCCAAGCAGACGACGGTTAGACGACTTACCAGCAGCCGGAGCAAGTGTTACGGCGACGGCCACGGCCACCACCACCACCGCCTCGTTTCTTGGGCACGTAGGGACACTCGAAATCGCTGTCGCTGTCCGCGCAGTCGGTGCAGCTGCACGACTCGTCATCCGTGTCCCCTGCAAAAAAATCGGTTACGACGATTCAATTAGCAACGGTTGTTTTTCAACCTCGTGGATCGAGAGAAAGAGAATGATGAATAGATCGATACGTACTTCGACTGCGACGAGTCTTTTTCTTGGACTTGGACTTGTTGCTGCTCTTCCTCTTGGCGGTGGTTTTGCTCTTGGTCACGCGCTTCTTCGGGGCGTAGCAGTCGCTGCAGTCCGAGTCCGAGCACAGGGAGCTCTCCGAGTCGTAGCAGCAGGCGCCGTCGGGGCAGACTAATTTTTTGGCTGGTTTACCGCGCGGCATCTTTGGCGAGCTGAGGGCACGACGAAAACAAATACAAAACAAAACATGAGAATGAAGAAATGAGCAAAATTCTAAGCTCTTTCGAGTGCTCGCGTACCCGTCGTTTCAAAATATCCCGTACGTTCACTTTTGCGAGGATATATAACCGAGTGCAACTTTGTAATATTATTTCAAGGCGACGAAAAGTCTCGAATGTGTATGTGTGTGTGTTTATCGAGACAGGCGATCGGGGAGCCATGCCGTAATGTCACCTTTAAATTAGCTTGCCGCGTATATGTAATATTATACATAGCAACGGGTCAACGAGGCGAAATAATCGTTGCGTTAATCGAACTTAAGCGAATACATTTCACAAAAATTGTCGTAAATTTAAAATTATTAAATATTATGCCCGTGCACGCCCGAGTATATTAGGTAATAAATTTTACTCACTTGTTTCTGTTAAGACTAGATGCGAGATGACCTTCTCCGTCAAGACTAGACGTAAAGACTAGATGTAAAAAGACTAGCTAAAGACTTGAGATTTCGACAGAGAAATAATAGCTCGATGTTATTGCTTGTTCGATCACTCGCTGGTTACTGACGATGCTGCGAGCGGCGATTCGGCGCGCCAAATTTACGCAAGGGGCGCCGATTGTTTTGATCCCGAGTCCACTGACCACGACTCAAGCCAACAGGTAGAGGGGAATTCGGCAGAGGTTGACAATTTCGAGCGCGTTCGTACGAAAATTTCCAACGCAATCGTAACGATTTTTCGACCGACGAAAATTAACCGCTAAAGGGCCATATGGGCGCCGCCGGCGGCTAATCCAAGGAAATTCAAGCGCACCAGTAACTTTCGACTCGACGACTGTAACTCTGAAAACAGCAGCCCCAAATTAGTCTCTCCCCAATACGAACAATGCACAAATATGTCAGCATCCATTAAAAGGCTCAAAAGTCAAGGGTATATATAAGCCCATGCACTCGTGCGTAGTTTCCGAAGCTGACATATGCACGAATATACACATGTATCGCACTCGCATATAGGCAGCGACAAAAATCGAAGGTGTTGAGTTCTTTTCTTTTGTGCGCAGGCCGGCATGACGAGTGATGTAACATGTAAATCCGGGGTTGCCAAGGACATGCATCCAGCGGGGGTGAAATTACGCTCGAGGCCCCGGCGGGTGACGAGCGAAATCCGCGCACGCACACGAGAAGTTAACTCTTTGACGGCCTAACAAGTGCACTCTGATTTTGAAAAATCATTGAATAATATTATAAAATCGCTTAGCCGAGTGCAGAGCGCGCGTAGTACGTGGTTGGAAAAAGTTGCGCGCACGCACCGATTCGAAATCAAGCCTCGATATCTAAATGGGCCGATTATGAAATGCATAAGTGTAAACGGGGGGAAAAAATAGCACCTCGGCGCTGTATGCATATGGCTTTGCAGTAGCGCGAAGCTCGGAGTGTATTATGGTATACGCGGAGCTACGATGTCGAAAGTCACTAATATAATACAAATATCTGCCGAGCGAGCCAATGCGCTGGTATACATATATAGGTATAAGAGCGCAATATTACTCGATAAAACTTGCGTGACTGGCGTGGAGCGCAACAAGAACAATCGGTTGCTCGCGACCCTGACGTACGTGCAGGAAAATGTAGAACATTGCACCGAGCTCGACACGGCCCGCCGCGGTGGTGTACGTACTGCAGTCGATAGCAGCGGCGAGTATTATACAGTACTATATACATTGGCTCCCTCCCACGATTTTCAAACTATGCACATTTTCAATCGCGAGTCGTGCATCTATACACACGGGCAATATAAAACCGATCGGCCGGCGACGAGCTGTTGTAATTCGGTATACATAGACCGCGCGCGGCTTAATGCGAAAAACGTCACGCACGCGTGGTGAAGAAAGAAAGAAAAAAAAACGCAAAAATGAAGAGAAAAAAAAGCTCGTGTTCGAGCTCGATCATCACCCTCGGCAACTCGGAGCGCACATGCATAGAGCAATATGCAGGCAATGATGATAATGACGTTAACACGCCTCGAGCGCTGCGCGAACAGATGTCGACTCGTCGAGTTCTCTCTTCTTTTTTTTTTTTTTTTTTTTTTGTTATTTTGTATCGTGACGCGCGAATNTTTTTTTTTTCATCTGTCGGTGGTGGTCGTGTCGGGGCCCGTGGAGCGAGAAGTATATTAATAATTTTCGAGTGCACGCGCAGGTCCTTTTGTCATTCGATTAAGAAGCAACAACAGAAGGTCGATATCAGTCAATAACTATTATTTAACTCGGCGTGTTCGAGCGTCGGGGCGTGAATTTTCGTCCTCGCCGAGCGTCGTAGCGTAGGGTACATCGATGTGTACCGCTGTTAACGAAGGATCGCGAGCAGAATCGAAGCTCGTTCATGCATTTTTCGTTGCGACACTCGTTGGGAGCGAGCGAATACAACTTTTATCTTGACTCGCATCGCTGCTAAAGAGTCGCAATAGCTGCGCGCATCCGTCTAACCTTTTTTTTTTACAAAAAGGAGCTATACTACTTATACATAAGAGAGAGAAAAATACACACACACACACAGACACTCATTTGGCAAAATCAGTTTACAGTTTGAATTTTTCCACGAGCTCTGTGATTGCAGCTTGAGCAGCGCCAGGCATTATGGTGAGTCAAGCTTACGCTGCTCGAGAGTATTACATGAGGTCGAGACTGCAGCAACACCTCCTGCTGTATATATACATAGCTCTGTGTATAATGTACGCGTGCAAGTTCCCTCTCGGTGCAACGTACTCTCTAGGCAGCAGCAGCAGCAGCAGCAGCAGCGCCTGCCTATGTCATAATCGGTGCGAGATCATTGCGCAAGCACATCGCACTGAGTGAGAGAGACCGAGCGATTATCTCGTCTATACGGTCCCTTTGGTATGCGGCTCGCCCTCTTACAATGTCTACTACTACGTATACAAGTGTGTCTGCGCAGCTGACTCTCTATATGTCTATGTCCATGTGTGTATATGATAAATAAATTCATCTAAGTAGAGTAATGCAATTTTATAAGCCAAGCGCGCAACAACACGTGAGAGCCTGTATGTATGTATGTAACACAACGCATACCCTGCGTATCGCAACAGCAGATGGAGATTTTTGGAAAAATTTGCCCGAGAATTTAATCAATGCCCGCAATGCATATACGTACGTATCGGTGAGCTCGCTCTCGAGGCGATATTTGGACATTTTCAAGCCCACACGTGCGCGAAAATGGATCGCATTATAGGTTGTTGACTCGCGACGACGTACACGCGCGCGTGCATGCAGGAAAACATCGGCGCGCGATTCTTAATAATTATACAAACTCGCCTACAGCTCGAAATTTGCGAAACGCAGCGTCGAGTTTTTCGGCTTTTTTGTATATAAGTTGAAAAACTAGTACCGTGTCAAGGGGATTAACCTTTTGAAATACACGCACGCTGCTATGATCTTATTGGAATTTCGCGCGCGCGTGTGCGTTGAACTGGGCGCGAGATATTATTATTACCTAATTATGAGCGCGATTATGAGCGCCGAAAATTCCGGCGATTAATCATATTACCTCGAATTAAAAAAAAAAAAAAAAAACAAAAAGTTTTTACTCCGTGCGATAAGAAAATCAACAAGCGCACGCCGCACGCAGCCTTTCATATACAAACGTATCGTTATACATGGTGTGCATGACGAAAATAGCGGGTAATAGGTAATACAATTCGCGGCTGAAAGAGTAAGAGGCACACGTGTCCGCGCCGCCGCCGCCACCGTACGATGCTTATTTCGCAAAAGGCTCGCTCGCCGAGTGTCCCGTCTATCTGTGTGTGCGTATATATATAGGAGGCTCACTTAGCTTGACTCCGTGATGAGCTCGACTCCATTATGATGTATAGTCGCCCGAGGCCTCGCACCAGCTACCTTATAAAGATCATATTTCGGCTTTTATTGTCTTTTCGTTCGTGTACGCTTATAGCAAGCATAGTCAAATATAATCTTTTGTATGTATTAAAATTATAGATAAATTAATTCGTTTTACGAATCATTATCTTCGCGTCTCTTTTTTTTCCCCCTCTTTTTTTGGGATGATGAAAGCATTATGCTGTTTTCACAATGCGGTGCGAAAATATTATTAATCACGGTTTTATCAGCTGCGAGCGCCTAAATAGATAAATATTATTAGTTGTTGTGTAACGCGCACAATTCCATAATTATCGAAACTAAAAATCAGCCGATAAGAGATCTTCGGGCAAAAACTATATACATCGTATATCATAATGTTCGCGTTTGCGTTGGAAGAGGCTCACGTGGGCTAAATCGTGAAAAATTCTTTGCTTATAACATCTATATCGCGCCTCGCGTCTCGCGTATCACCACCACGTTCATTAATAGCGAATAATTTTCATAATTGATCCGATATTACCCGGCAAATGTGCGATCGCGTGTAATGTAATACACAGCGTCTGATTGAATAATTATACGAGTTTTGCACGCGTTACATTATACTCACGCGCACACACACATAATACTACTACTCGAGTACGGAGTTTACGCGAATGCAATGCAGCAATAGTGTTTTTGAAACGAGGCTCTTTCGACACGCCACGCCGAGTAGTAAACGCGCAAGCCTATACGGCCGATCGCCGAGCGATGCCTTTTCAAATTTTATTAATTCCACGAGGCAGATATAAATTCAAACGTAATGGGCTGTAATTGAGCCGGTGAAAAAAAAAATTGATGATCCTGATAATCCAAGCGCAGCCGAGCCCGTTGCAGGCCAAGGACACCGAAATCTGGTATTCAGTTATCGAACGCCGAGGCTCGCGATAAATCTTAATACCGTGCAGCGATGGTGTTTTATCATAAATTTTTTTTTTTTGCAAGTCGAACTAAAATGATTGTTTGTGCACTTGGAGGTGGATATGCACGAGCTCGTAAATCTCAAACTCTGACATTGCGCCAGGACTTGTCTGTTTCTCCCTCTCTCTCTCTCATTGTGCTTGTACGCACTTCTTATTTGTGCGTGGAGTCTCAATATATATGCGGCGTTAGGCCATTGTAATGAATGGTTACCGATGCAGAAACTATATAGAAGCGTATTATCAAGCATGCGTATACGCTAATATACGCATGTATGCTGTATACGTGTGTGCGTGGACTTGGTGTCGTAATGATGAAAAAAGAAACGACTTACAGAATATCGCGCGTATATTACCTTTTGTACTCGCGACGCAAACTATTGATACCCGGCCTCGTACCGCTTTTAACCTAATTACCAATTATCAGCGCTCTTCGTGACAAGTTAAAAAGACAATTGTGTAACTTTTATTATGAAAGATTTTGAATTTACGATATAAATATTATTGGACGAAATTTAAAAAACAATGCTATTGAATAAGCGACAGGCAGAAGTGACTAATGATTCACACTTTTGTCTTACACATGTTCGATTCAAGATCCGTGATAAATGAGATCTGGTATTTGACTTATTCAAATGGATTACCAAACTTTGAAATACTACTTTTCACCTTGCTTACACATAGTCATTACTATTACGCTATTATGACATATAATATGAAGTAATCTATTTCATATTATTGTAAGGTAATGTTAAGTAATTTTTAATGATTTCTAATTGAATTTCCAAGGCGAATCATCTGATCGTTAAAAGTTCAAATAGATAGTAATTATTGAATTGTAAAACAAATTATTACGATTTCATACCTTATTCAATAGGGAATTAACGCCATCTGTGAAAAAATCTTAGTCACAAGTTTACCGGCTTGGAAATATTCTGTTTTACCATTAGTTGATTTTTCCGGTGCTTTTTATCAAAGATTTTCTTCTATTTTCATCAACTACTTAATAACAAGTATTGTAGATCGATATAATTCTTATATAATCCAATAAATTTAATCTTTAAAAATAAGAAATGACTAGTACAGACGACAATTATCTGAGAAAAACAAACTTTACGTAATATCGAATATATTTATGTGGCTCGCTTATTTTCCAAAATATCAATGAAATAAATTTTATTTATTCCGATTTAATTCGGAGCTACTAAAATATTACCTTGTTATTGTAATCTTGCCGGATGATAAGACATAACAAGGTTCTCCTCTCTCTTCTGTTTACTCCTATAATTACGTGGGGATAATCAAAGTTTCGAATCGGTGTCTCGGTATCCTTTCAGTGCGCTTACCCTCGGTGGGTGTAGAATATTCACTTTTCTAGTAATTGCTACTTGTTGTTCATCTACCTGTTGGTCGGAGTGAAACATAATATAATTTTACACAACATTTAGTCTTTTCATAAATAGTTTTTTTGTATAATAATTTTATTAACTACTTCACACGCTATTATGAAAAAGTCAAGGAAAAAATTGTTGAGTCGATATAAAAAATATCGGGTTGCGTTGAGAAAGTTCACCATAATATCAATGATTAGGAAAAAAAGGCAAAGTGCGCAGCCGCACGAGCCAATGTCCACATGAGTATGTAAATTATTCTATATATTATGTGTACCCTTATGCCGGCGCAAAAAGGAAAATCGACTTGGCGCTTCGAACTGCCCTCATTGAGCTTAGAACCTGTTCACCCTTTCCGCGAGCTCGTGTTAAGTCACTTCATGCTGTAAGCGACACCGGCGACTTTTTGTCCTCGTGCCTTAAGATTAGTGTTTCTGATTGATTCAATTTAAGGAAATAATTGTAAAAAAGATGCTCACATAAATTCAAAAAAAGCCACATTGAACCGCCATAATTCAAGTTCAAAGTGAATTGTTTTTTTCCCGTTGCAAGAGTAAACATCCAAAATTCCGAAAGTCAAGCCAGCCAATTCCATTTCTCAAGAGAGAGGTAAGTAATGAATTTTTAATTATTTATATAAGAAAGACCATAAATTTTCAATTTTGAAATAAGAATGTTAGGATAAACGAAATCTTTCGTTTCGCGCTTGTGAATTCGTGGTTGTTTTTAATTCTTATTTATAGATCTATAAATAAGTTTGCAACAAAATAGACCACAAAAATTAGCATAGTAATAAGCTATCTCATTTACTTGGTATGCTACGACGATCAAAAGGGCAAAATATGTGCAAACTTGGCAATGAAAATAGAATATTAATGTCGATCGATCAATGAGACTAAAGCTTCGAGGAAGTTACGGCTTTCCACACAACAAAGAATCGCGAAAGCTTCCGTTGTTGTCAGTCAGCCGTCGTATCGCGATGACTCAGGATCTATCAAACTCGGAAGCTTTCTTCGCTTTTTTAAAAGTTCCTTATGTTTCGTTTATTGCCGATCGTTTGTGCTTTGTTTAAATGGATTTCGGAAGAATGGCGATACTTGATCATTGTTTTAAGAAATTACGGGGGATTTATAAAATTTCATTTTCTGTGTGTCGTTTAAATTGCTCATAACTGTGACAAAATTTAACATTTCAAGATGCTTGCGTATATGAAAACTTTTAAGTGTCCAAAATGTCCTGCGAATTTTAAATTTCCAGGAATGGATAAAACAGAATCCTCCATGGAAGAAAACAGCGATTTTGAAGATCGGGATCCAGGTCGCTTGAATCAGCACATGCCGGTACAGATATATTTAAATTTTATCTTAAAATATGTAAAAGTTTGGTAAATATGGGTAAATTTTTACTTTGAAAATAATAGTAGCATTGAGTATGCTATTTTGTATAAAATATTTGTAAAGAAAAGTCTGATTAATTTGATCAAGGTAAAGGGGAAGTAAATAATGGTTAAAAGCTATTATCACATCGATTGATGTAACAAAAATAATCGCTCAAACGATCGCTTTATTAAGGTAATTTGGGAGCAAGTGATCGGTGAACCGGACGGTATCCGAAGTCCGGAGTGCGCATGGCGATTGAGCCATCATTGTTTTCGCCTGTCCAAGGGTTGCTGCTACGTCCTCCTCTCGATTTTCGTCGCCCCCATCGCGGCTCTGATCCTTGGCTTCACCTTTGCGTGTCTCGCTTTCGAGGTAAGCACTACTAGCCTATAAGCCGTAGCACGCGCGGCTACCACTAAGCGGCGAGGCGAGCTGAAAGAAAAGAGCAAATCGATATCCGCGAGCTCGACCGAGTTTAGTTCTTTCGATCGTGCACGAAACGCGACGTCGTCGTCGTTGTCGTTGTTATTTTCGTGTTTCTATATACTTAGAAAGGAACATTGCAATTTCAGAGAAATTTTTTTTTCATTCGTACGGTACATTTATTGGAATAGAGTAGCTCTATCTCGGTCCGATAATCTCATGTGTTGAATTCTACATTGAACAATTTGATTATTATTATTATTATTTCCATGATGTTATCAGCCATAAAAATTTATCGCCCTAATACTCGCACATTGTCACGTATACATTGTTTTATGAGGTATTTTTATTATTTTTTTCAAAGTTGTATAATTGACGTAATTTCCAAATTTAATCAAGCGTAATCTCACGTGATGATAAAAGCGGGTATTACCGCGTAATTTTTGTGGGTGTGTGTAAATTTTGTCGAAAATATCGATTCTTAGAAAATTTGAAATAAAATTTATTACTCTATAATGTAATTACGTAGCACGAGTCTCGTCCCTATTTCCCCGAGAAAAATAGATAACAAAACATCTTGGTTCATTGAACCGTACTTGATATCGAACAAAAAAAGCTCGCTCATTGTTTTCCTTTTTTTTTTCATTTCATAATACACCTCTTTGCTCGTATGCATCGAGTTTAATGATGAATATTTTAGCATATATGGTGCATCGTTCCATGCTTGCGTGCCTGGCGTATAAGCTGCATGGCGGTGCGGCACTTCTGCACGGCCGCGACTCAAGCTCTCGTCAGGCCTTGCACCGAGGCGCTCGGATATCTTTTTCATCAAGTTCGAGTCATGAATCAGAAGCTGCCGGATACCTATGAGATAAATAGGGACGACATTCATATTATTTAAAAGTGTTCAATTTGCCTTGATGCTGATAATTGAGTTCCTGCTTGAATTTAGACGTTTTTTAATCTAATAAGTTTACCTTCATGTTATCAACTGTTGTTTTATATTATGTGTGAATAAGATGTGAATATTTATAATATTTTAAGAAAAACAGTCTTCCATTTATTTCAACCCTTTTCAATAAAAAAGAGAATCAAATCTTATACAATATGGTTTGGAACTCCCGCTTGATCAGTGCTGACATCGTTTGTAGACTTCTTTTACCAGCTAAAAAGTATACTTGTCGTCGGTAATTTTACCCGATAAAAAATCTCAAACGATGACGGGAACATAATAACAATAATCTTTATTTACTTCGATTCGTCGAGCAGTAGATCAGTCTGCAACTGGAACTGTGTCTGGGAGTAGCGGAAAAGTGAATGAACGGATAATACAGTTTTCATTATCGATGTTGACACAATGGCGTTTTGCATGCGAAATATAGTTGGAAAATTAGTTAATAATTCACAATCGATTTCATCAAGACGTATCCTTTTTGTATAATATCAAAAAATTGTGGCTATCGAATGAAAGTGCTGAGCTCTGTTTTTGATTAATTTATTTTATGCAAGATTCTTTAATATTTTCTTTAACCGACTAATTTTCTTTAAAAATAGAAATTTCAGTTACATCTTGTGTTGCACAAAAACGTAAGTGTCAGTGGGTGGTCTCGAACGAGATAAAAACTGGCACCCAGAGATAACAATGTTGTTCGAATATTTTTATACACAGCTAACGACGATAAAATAGAAATCTGAAATACCAATCGAAATGGAAATTAATTTAAAGTGTACTTGAATGTTTTTGTCATTTCAGCTACTTTCAAGTGGTCAGATCCACTCAACTTGGAATCTCAGTTGACTTCCGATGAGATAATCATTCGAGATCAGTTTCGAACCTATTGCAACGAAAAATTATTGCCTCGCGTGATAGAAGCAAATCGACATGAAAAATTTGACCGAGCTATCATCAAAGAGTTCGGAGATTTAGGGGTTCTGGGATGCACCGTCAAAGGCTATGGAGCTGCAGGAGTAAGTTCCGTAGCTTACGGACTGTTGGCTAAGGAAGTCGAAGCGATCGATAGCGGATATAGATCTGCTTTTTCCGTACAATCGTCATTGGTCATTGGAGCCATAGAAGCTTACGGATCGGACGCGCAGAAAGACAGACTTTTGCCTAAATTAAGTAAGTATTGTTTGAATTTAATTTAATTTGAAGAGTATCTCTTGAAGCGAATGAAACTAAATTTAATGTAAAATTTTTTTCAATTCAATTTAAATTAATCAATTTTTATGTATATATTAATTTTCTGCAATTTCTAAAATCATTTTTGAGGCTCAATAAAACTCCGAGAACGATGACTAATATTATTCATAATGACTTATACAGTTATTTTGACTTTGACACTTGCAGATTTAAAAATAAAGGTATTCGCCATCTAGCGGTGAATTCTGGCCATTATTAAGATTAAATTATAATGAATTTTGAGCAATTAACGCAAATAGTAAATCAGTATTAAAAAACTAACTTTCAAAAATTTAAATTTAAACTATGAAAATCAATTTATTTTTAATTTTTGCATATTTTGTTCACTTCGTGTAAAAAAAAGTCAGTACTGATTCATTAATTTTCAACTAAGTTTTCTTGTAAAAGTCCCTGACCCGAAATTCGGTATCGGAGACTTTAATTTAAATGTCTAATTTGACATTAATCTACATTAAATTCAAAGTTTTTTTAAACATAATTGTTATTTTTTCATTTAAACCCCAATGAAACAAACTAAAAACTTTGTACGTATTGAAAATAGTTGCTGGAGATCTAGTGGGATGCTTTGGGCTTACTGAACCTAATCATGGTAGCGATCCGTCATCGATGGAGACAAGAGCCAAGTACGACGCGAATAAAAAATGTTATAAACTCAGTGGCAGTAAAACTTGGTTAGTAAATAAAATTTTAATGTTCGTTGAACATTAGATAATTGGGAGCGAAAATTGAATTTTCTAGGATCACAAATTCACCAATTGCCGATGTACTCGTAGTATGGGCAAAATGCGACGACGGCGAGATCCGAGGTTTCATCATCGAAAGAGCCGGTAACAAAAATACCTTGTCGACTCCGAAAATCGAGGGAAAGTTTTCGCTCAGAGCATCCGTCACCGGAATGATTTTAATGGACGAAGTCGTAGTGCCAGAAGAAAATCTTTTACCCAACGTCAAAGGCTTGAGGGTATAAATTTATCGTACCAGCATTTAAAACGAAATTGGTATCCTCGCAAATTTTTTTGCAGGGTCCTTTCGGCTGCCTCAACAATGCTCGCTACGGCATCGGTTGGGGTGCTTTGGGAGCCGCAGAAGCTTGCCTGAAACAGGCACGCCAATACGTTTTGGAAAGAAAACAGTTCAATCGGCCCTTAGCCGCTAATCAACTAATCCAAAAAAAATTGGCAGACATGATGACGGAAATTGCGATAGCTTCACAAGCCTGCCTTCAAGTTGGACGCCTGAAGGACGAAAAAAAGTAGCTACTCGATTAATATCCGATGTAATATGTACATTATTTACACCCTCTTAATTAAAAACTGTTTTTTTATTTCAGAGCTACGCCAGAGATGATTTGTCTGATCAAGAGAAACTCAGCTGGAAAAGCTTTGGAAATAGCGAGAACCGCCCGGGACATGTTGGGCGGCAATGGAATTTCCGACGAATATCACATAATCAGACACGTTATGAACCTTGAGTCCGTCAACACCTATGAAGGTAATCCTCGGTGTTACTGATAATATTGTTTAACGAGATACGGCGTAAGTTATATTAATGAAAATGTTTGCAGGTACACACGACATTCACGCTCTCATTTTGGGAAGAGCAATAACAGGCATTCCAGCATTTTAAAAGTGACACTGCATTTGTACGCTGCATTCATATTTTATTGTTGATCCATAAAAACTATATATTTTTATTGTAAATAATGTCGTACCTTCTTCCCTACCTTACCGATATTCTTCTTATAGACTCGGCTGAGTCGCATATATAGGCTGATCGCACTGACAGCTTACCGCAGTGCAATGCTCTCCAGCAAGTACCGCCGCTCGTAGCTCGAGTCGGTAACTAAACGTCGTATCGGGAATGCCGTCAGCTGCGCAGCGAAACATACTCACAGAGGCACACTCACACACGTACACCTAGGCAGTAGTGCTCCTAAATAGTCGTACACACACGCCACCAGTCAGTAAGTCTCTATAGCTTGGCTTCGTAGCGTATACTATCGTGCACCGTGTGTATATATTTACAAAGGAAAAATTCGCCTTCATTGAATAAACATTGCCGCCGTGTGATTGTCGCGCAGGAATGCAAGTGATTCGCACGATTTCGGCTCGGCTGCAGGCCTCGGGCTCGTGCGCCTCGTCGTTGCAGCACGAATTATAATACAATAGGCGAGAAAAAAATCACTCGCAGCTCGAGCAGAGCCAGCGGAGAGATCAACAGCGAGGAAGGTAAATCAATGCACTTTTTCTGCATCTCGTAAGCGAAGGAGAGTCTGCGTGTTGTCATATACGTGCCAGTGCGTGAGTGCGTGAAGAGAGAGAGAGAGAGATTTACTAACGCGATTGACGCCAATTAAACATCGTCGTCATCTATCGCCTTGAATGAAATAGCTTTTCCTCTATCCGAGTCCGAGTCGACTGATCTGTATTGTCAACTAGTGACAACACCAGTTGAGGTTATGTTTTTCAAGCAGCAGCAAATTTGTTTGTTCGAGCTGCTGCTCTTTGTTTTGGTTTCGCTTATCAGTGCGTGAAAGGTGTCAACGCACAGTGAATGAACGCCAGTTCGTGCATGCGGGTGTATCGCGAGATTTTCGAGGTGCGTGAAATATTTTTCACATAAATTGCAACGCGATGACACGGAAAAAAGTGTTTATTTGACAAGTGCGTGATTAATTGATACAGAAATACAGGGTATACGTCGATGCGTCATAATGCCTTCGACATAATTCATATCTTATTTTTTGTTCGATTCGAGCATTACGCATAGTCTTGCAGTAGAAGAAAAATTTCGCAATAATTCCATCTCAGCACTTATTTCATGGACATTCGATACCAATTGTTGGTCCCGTATCGCAAAATTCGATCGCGCATTGTTATTATAAGGATTCCAAAAATAAGCCCGATTATCACAAAGCGCACGACCGATAAGATAGCGTTCTTTGACGTATCGAGTCGCTTAGTTTTTGGTCACTGAACAACGCTGCCCTGCAAAGTTCACTGTGTCATTTGAGAATCAAATTTTAAAGTCTTTTTATTGTGCGTTTGGCTCCACTTGGGTAATACAAGCCGAAGCTAGAAGAGATTTGATATGAAAAAGCTGACTTAGAACTTTCAAAATCTACTGTTACAATCATACTACCTTAAACTTATAAGTTCAGAACTGGACCCTCAAAGTACCAAAGTCTTATCAGATTGAATATTTGTTCAAAACTAAGCCTAAATTATCAAAAAAGACTTGCAACAATTTTGAAGTAAAATATAGAACTTGTGTCAACCGTATATCGAAGAAATCGTTCATATCTTACAACTAAAAGTATTTGGTTCGGTCTGATTTTTCTATATATAACAAATTAAAATTGAATACATTTTAATATTTGTGTGTCAAGAAATAATAACTATAAAAAAAAAATTTTTTTCATTTTAAGTAAAAACGTATTTTGAGTCATATGAAAATTGTTGTTATTAATTTAATACCAATGCAATATGAATAAGTGTAAAAATTTAACAATTGGACTATTTACATATTTTTGCAGTTATGAATTTCTGAATCACATTTTTCTTAAAATTATTGAATGTTACATTTTAAAACTTTATTTTCCATTAAATTACATTTTTAATAAAACTATTTTTTTCAAAAAAGATTTTTCAAATCAATTGAGTTACAAAAGCTCTTTATAGAAATGTTTAATATAAATAATGGCCTAATGGCCTAAAAATTCTACTTAAAACGTTTAAAAATATTTAACCCTTAAATGGTTTGTTTTTGGTAATTTTACTGTTGCAATTAACAAATAAATATTAAATAATTAAGCGATTAATCAATTGTTTCAAGCACTTTTTATCAGTTTTCAACTACTATAAACACACTAGGTGAGCGTTAACTCTATCCGGCCCAACAGAGCGGTGGGACGAGGATAAGCATAAGAAATTCTATCGGACAGAATTACGCCTAATGTACGATAATTCCGCTTTATAAACTTCCACCACTAGATGGCGAGTACCATAATCAATTAATCTGCAAGTGCCAAAGTGGAAATATTTGTATAAGTAAAGCACGGTTTTGAATATCAGTATTTTCAATTCTTTCTTTATGGATCGACTGAAAATAAGAAAAAAATATCCTGGCATCGTTTAGCTCCGACATTGCATTAAAACACGATCGAAAGAGATGGTTTAATGTCATCTTAAAGATTATAATCATTTTACTTAGAATCTGAGGAAGAGGCTTGAAAAAAATTTCCAAGTACTAAAATTGTTGATGAACAAAATTGTGATAGTATCATTTCCTGAAAAAAAATACGACTGAATGAAATAATACTAATCTAAATACATACGCTGGAGTTCTATCGCGTTTCATCCTAAATTCGCTGTGACAAGAACGTTTTTGAATTGCAGTGATGTCTGATGACTAGAAAAGCTTCTCAGCACCAAACTGCCATAAACGAGGTCTCGCTCGAAATCACCTCGCCTCATCGTACCTTCAGGACGAAAGCGCAACACATCAGTTCCAAATGCAGTCGACGGAGGCCGACAGACATCTGCGCCAAACGCTCGAAGACCGGCGGCTTCGGCTCGTGGCCGAGTCGTTTCTGAACGCGTCGCTGAACTCCCAACAGACGAGCTACACGCAAAGCATCCGAACCCCCGACAGCGTCTTGAGCGATGCCCTCCTGGCCGGGGCACGGCACAATGGCCGCATGTCGAACGTTCGGAGATTTTTTTGTTTATTCGTTACGTTCGACTTGCTATTGACCACGCTCATGTGGCTGATCTGTATCATGGTAAATAAACATGACACATTTCTGGGATATAGATTCAGTGCAACGATATTCATTTGATTAATCGCACTTTTTTTACGCATGCAGATATCGGGTGCAAATGTACGAGCAGCATTTGAGGAACAAATTATACATTATCAAATATCCACCTCATTGTTCGACATTGTGGTAAATATATTTTACTAATCCCAGTTTAATACCCTCTATTAAATTAATTAATTAATGTTATCGATCAATTTTAAATGTTTTTTTGACAGATGGCTGCTGCTTGTAGATTCACGATCCTGTTGTTATTTTACGCACTTTTGCATTTAGAACATTGGTTTATCGTAGCCGTAAGTTATAATACCCATTACACTTACGGAAATCCGTGCCCCAACCCAAAATTTAAATTTTCAAAAAAGTTTTCTAAAACTGCTATTGAATATTTCTCTAAAAAGCTCTAAGGGAACCTTAAGAACAAAAAAATTAATGTTTCCCAGGGGCTTTTTAGAGAAATCTTCAGTAGTAGATTTAGAAAACCATGTTTGAAAATTCGAATTTTGGGCTCAGGTACGGATTTTCTTAAAATTAAAAAATTTTCTTACCGTTAACATTTTTAAAACATTTTGCAGTTGTCAACTACTCTAACTTGTGCCTTATTACTCGCCAAAGTCTTTCTTTACGACGTAAGTATATCAATTGTACGATTTCGTAAGAAAAATATTTAGGTAAGAGCATAATGATCATTATTACATCAATTTTAGTGGGCTCAATCCAGTCAACCAGTTTTTCAAGTTCTTCTAATTCTAACGTCGTTCGTACTTGTGTGGGGTGAAGTATGGTTTTTGGACATCAAAGTCATTCCTCAAGAAGTTCAAGCCAGGCAGTGGTTTTTTGGTAAATATGTCCAATCAAAAAATTCAATAATAAATCATGGCAAATTCCTGCTAACACGTTGATATTTTAATTAGGTGGTTATAGCGGCGATATAGAAAGATCGCCGTTACTAGGTCCACCAACAATATCAGCTTCAGTGCCACAGATGGACAATCCTGGACATTTTTACACGCCCATGGATTCGCCCGAGATCTCGGACGATGAAGGCGACGGAACTGATCGGAGTAAAAACGCTACTGATGGATTTCCTGCTATCGTAGATGTCAAGTTTTCGCCCGAAAAGGTATTGATTAATTTTGATTCCGGACACACATGTCAAGATTATGCCCGATAAAAGCAACGTGTAGACGAGAAATACGCTCATTTGAATTCGCGAAACAAGGGGAATTTTTTAATAAAAATATTGCAAACACGTGCTCAAGTGCAAAGGATCTGCGAGCGGATAACATTGCACTGGCTGTTGATATATAAACTTACTTTGCATAAGTAAGATAATTAAATTTTTGATAAATATTTTCTTCATTGATTGCCATGCGAGTACGATCAGGAAATGACGAATCTACTGATAAATCGCTCGCCAGGAAGATACTTAACCCGAGATTTTTTTTAACAAAGTTCAGTTACATCGAGTCACAGTTGCTAGAAGGATCAAACACTTTTCTTAGCCCAACACATTTATTCGAGCTCAAACAACATTTTTTATTGTTTCTATGTGTATTGTTATTTGATTTAACCGTGATCGGGTGTTAAATATCTAAAATGAATTACTTACGAAACTTTTATCTCGGACATTTGTACAGAACCGAAATAGTATGCATCGAGCCAAGACTAGAGAAAAAAAATAATGTAGAACATGAGGTGTGCTTTCTATAGATTATTTACTTCACATAGTTCGACATGAAGTTTTTCAATTTGAATATTTATTAATACTTAAATAATTTTCAGATTGAAGAATATAAAAGTCATGTTCCTAATTTATTGGAAACATCGTACAAAATATTATTATCAAATGAATGGAAAGTTGAAAAAGTGACTCCAGAAGGCGACGAAATCGCTAGTATGACGCTCAAACATGGAAAAAAAATATTTCGAATTACGGTAACTTTAAAAATGAAACTAAATCAAGTGAAATTATACTACAAGAGTAAAAAATTAATGATATTAATTTTTATACTTAGGGAACAATAAACACTGCGCCAGATAAGCTGATTAATAGTTTATATGAAAATATTGAATCAAGCCCCACTTGGAACCCAAATATTAGTGAAGTGAAAAAAATTCACGTAAATACACTTCAATAGTTTAATTTGCTACCTATTTTATTGTATTACATCATAAAATTTTGTCCTTAGGTAATGGATGATAATACAGACATTGTTTATCAATCTACAGCGACTTTAGGAAAAGGAGCTATTGGAGCTAGAGATTTCATTATTTTAAGACATAGAGGAAAGTACGATGCATACCACATGTCAACTGGCATGTCTGTTAACTGTAGTTCTATTCCAAACAGAAAACATTTTGTGAGGTACAGCAAAAATTCAATCATTATGAAAATTATCAATTACATTTTTTTCAATTAAATATTTTACTTTTTTTCAGAGCCGAAAGTGGTGTATCATTCTTTGCCTCGCGGCGCCTAGAAAACGACTCAAATAAATGCCAATTCATATGGGTAGTGAATACCGATCTCAAGGGCTGGATCCCTCAGAAAATAGTCGATATGAGTATGCACATGGGTATAATGGAATTCATGACGTCGCTGAGAAATTATTCACAGATCATAAGAGACTGACATGACGACAATTGCCCCACACGTGCATCAAATTGGACTTGTCGCAGTGGCAAACTAGTAAAAGACTTGAACACAGAAACTTATGATATAAGGATACTGTAAACAAAAAAAATTTGGCTCAGTGCAGCTTTTCGAACAAAGTAATTAAACGAGTACTTTTCTAGTACCCCAAATTACGCATGGTGAATAATCACACCGTCGATTGTTCACAATAACTTTGATGTTTGTGTTTAGAAAATAATCGAGACTCTTGTAAAACGTTCGCGACTTTTGCAATGTGTTGTAAACAGAAAAAAATTGAATAATCAATTTTTGATTTTTATATTTTTGTTACAGCGCTATATTTATAACTGTTTTCAGTAATTTCATTGTGTATAAAGTAAAAAACAAGGAAATATTTATCTTTATCTCTATCATATTACAGCACTCCGAGTTGTATAATAATTTTTTGACGGAAATATTGTGTGATGAATGTTATTGTGATAACGTTTTATAAGGAAGTTATCTTCGAGTGTAAAAATCAATTTTGATAACAAAATGTTGTAAATAAATTTATTATAAGTTAAATTAGAAAAAAATTTAAAGCTATTGTTTAAGCTGTGAAAATGCGCTTCAACCAAAAAGTATGTGTACTTCAAGTCATACTGATTATGTATAAGTTCATGTGAATTTCGACGATTTTTAGACTGTAGTAATAGAGAAAAGTGTAAATATGAATTTTGAACGTATCAAATATTGTTCAGAATAGAAATTATATGAAATTTTATCATGTACATTTAAAAGAAGTAGTGTTATACAAGTGGTAGAATATATTTATTAATTTATTGTGTTATATTTATCGTGAAATCAAAAAGTTCATATGTTCATCTTCATTTTTGATACCAAGAAAAAATAACGATAATGTTATTTAGCTTCTAAAATGAATAAAACGAATTGAAAACTGATATGCCTAGCATTTATTATATTAATCCTTATTGAAATTAAATTCCCGAGCATGATACATAATTCTAATTTAAAAATTTTTTTTTTTAATTTCATTCCAAATTAGAAAGTTTTGTCAAATTTTTTGCTAATTTTCCTGTTAATTTATCCACCTCTCGAGATTTTAATTGATTCGATAAAACGTATAAGAGGAATATCGAAGCTTTTTGCACAGATTCCGTTATTCGCATTTTATGCAATTCACGCTAAAGTAAAAAGTACCTTCTAGTGTTCATTAATCTCCAATACATTCCACGAGAGTTTTTATGAAAAACCTCTTCCTTTATAATATCCATTCATTCTTATGCGGAATATACAAGCGGAAAATGTGGAGAGGAGCTAATCCACGTTAAAGTAAGAACTAGTTGCATTGAGATTTCGAAAGCTCCCAAACGTAAAGGTCAATTCGGATGACCTTGATCAGTCTCAAACTTTCATACTTGATCCTTTATAGGGCGGGACAATATAAAAAAAAGGTTGGCTCGCGCTCCGTTGACGCGGCGACAATAAAGCTTACAATGAAAAAAAAAGAAAAATAAAAGCGAGAAACGCGAGCACAATACGCGGCGAAACGAAAGTGAGAGCGAAATGCGCCGAGACGCTGCCCACGACACTCTGCTGTCTTCGTCGCGGTGCTATGTTACCAGGAGGCCAGGAAACGCGAGGAGCCGTACCATATGCAATCGTGCATATCTCTCGGCGGCGCGTCGGTAACTTACCTAGCCGGGCGAGCTCTTGGCGATTGCTGCGCTCCGCGTAGGAATCGAATCCCGAACTCGCGACTCTGGCTCTACCCGCGCCGGACGATCCCGCGAGCCGCGAAAGAGGAGAGCGCCCACAGCCGCGCGTGTCTTTGAAAGCACGTGTGCACGCGACTGCGAGCGCGCGCTTGCGCTCGCATACATGACTGCAATCGTGCGAGTCGTGACTCGAGTGTAGTACACGTATTGTGTACAAACTGAGATTTGTACAACAGTTGAATGGTTTCGAATGTGCCTTTTTCCTCGATTTCTTTTCCATTATTATTTTTCAAACGAACGAATTCTTATGTATTTTTGTTTTTCATCTTTTTTTAAGTAAATTTATGTATAAAATCGTATACTTCACTGCATTGAATATTTTGGATTTTCTTGTAAAAATCGTCGGTTCTTATATTCTTTTTTTTTCTAGATTTTTTCCTTTCACTTTCTAAACTGCATATTTTGAGATGATGAAAATGGAGGAATAGCCTGATTTTTAAGAACAATACACCGTCCTTTTGAAAAAATAATCGAAAGTTGTAGTTAATGTCACCTCAGCTTATTCTGCCATAATGTAGAGCATAACAAGCTCCCCTCGACCGAGTATAGCGAATAAAGCGTGCATTACTGGTATAAATAACGACCATCGTGCGGTGCACTTGATACATCGGTGCCGATCATGCAAGCTAGCAATGCGAGAGCTATACTTAACGTCGCGCAGCTCGAGGCTCGACACGCAAACACCACTGTACATTGGCTTGTTGCATGTTATGTTGTGCGCCGCTGCCGCCGCTGCTCGTCGCGTGCCTCGAGCTGATAATCAAAAGAGCCGAGGAAAAAATGCTCTTCCTACCACCACCAAGCTGCATGTACCCATACCACTAGACCGCTGCTGCTGCTGCTGCTGCTCCTCGTCATTTTGCAGGCTGGCGCTTTCGTCTTTCGTTTTTTGCACGCTCCTGCTCATGCGCGACTCGGGACAGCTCCATTTACTGCTGCTACACTGATACAAATCGTTCCAAACTCGCCTTATAAGGGCATAACCGGGCGCATACTTGATTCGTGCGAGCGGCTCTACTCTGTGTGCTATGCGCGAGCTCTATACTGGCTTGTATTATACGTGCAGCTTGGCTTGGCGCGGCTAGTGCTGCCGCAAGCTTTGCGCAGGTGCAGCTCGTGGCGGCGAATAGGCGCCAACAACGCCAGCCAGCTCCGATGCGCCTCCGAGCCTTTTCCGACTGCATGAGATACTGATAGCGGCGCGTCGATATCAAATGCTCGTGGCGCGTTTGTTATTTCCATGACAAAGAGTGCGAGAAGAGGCGCTCTTCTAACGCGCAATTTTACCCTTTGCTCGCGACTCCGCTTTCACGTTGTACGCGGGCCTTTTATTAATTTTTTTGAAGGATCGAATACCCTTGTTTGACTCTAACGACTCCTTTTTCTATTTGCAGAGCTCGTTTTCACTGGGAATTTGTTATTTGAGAATTCAACTAAACAGCTTTTCACTTTCTCGCGTTCGCACGAATTCATACTTCGTACAACTCTAAAATTAATTTTCAACTTTGAATTATAATTTTCCTTTTGCGAGCTGAGCTCGCTTTCAAATGTTAAAAGTTAATGGCAACTGACGTGAAATCGTGCAGGTACCCTAAACTATATCGTTCTAAATAAATTACCAAACCAAAGGCTCGGGTGAAAATTGCTCATAGAAACATCGAGTATTTGAACTCTTACGATTTCCAAAGTACTTATATCCACGAGTAAGTATAACGCGCTTTTACGTTCATAGCCGCGTTTTTTGGTCGTTATACCCTGCACGCTGGAAATACTATAGAGAGATAATTGATGGTACGGAGCTCATATCGAGCTCGTAAATTTTTTATTGGCCGTTAGCGTCTTAGCGAGGAGGAGAAAAAAAAAGTTAATACATTCAAATCGAGTTAATAAACGTATCGCTGTAACGACTCTAAAAGTTGCGAACTTGAGTTTGATCGCGATATAATTAGATGTAACGACGTTGAGCCTGCTGCTGCAGTTACCATCCATAATTCTCAAAGTAGAATGTTTTACACGTGGCTTTTACATGGTCTATTAATTTTCATGATCGCACGTATGTAAAATAAACCATTTTAACTACCTGCGCGATGCCGCGCACTCGCTGCCATACACACACACACACACACTCGTGCGCAGCCTTCCCGTCGCTCGAAAGCCAGCTTAGAGAATCGTGTATTTTTATTTAAATACAATAATATCGCGCGCCGACACGAGAGATTATTAAGAACGCAGCTCGCATGTATATGCGTTCGTCTCTCTCTCTGGTCTTGAGCAATCGACGCTTGCATCATCGAATTCTCGGCTATCGGCGGAGGAAAAAAAACGTGTTAGCGCGTCGTGTATCGTCATGCAGACACACACAAACACACACACACGCTGAGTCGCGCGTATTGCATTCGAAAAATCGGGTGACATCATTTATGCATAATTCGTTTGATTTGCCGTGTGTAATGGCTCTATGAACGCTATTGATTCCTGATAACTTTTGCAAAATTCACTTTGTCGTATTTTTACAATAAATTGCACTTTATACCACATCACATGTATGCTATATACAACTGCCAGTAATTTAATGAAAGATAAAGACAATCGACTTTTTTAGTTTAATGCTCGGGCGCGCGCGGGAGAGCTCAAAGATTCGCGAACCAAACTGCATTAACGCGTATTTACACCGTTCGAGGGGGCACAGATTGGATTATAACTCGAAATTATACGCCGCGTATATATTCGAGCGCTGCGTACGCGCGCGCCTACGTACGAATGTGTGAGTGGCTGCGGGTTTACATATATCAGCGAGCTGCGCGCCGATTTATAGTTTAAAAGCGCGCAGCTCGTCGTCGTGTGCAGTACCACAGCTATATACTGTACGTTGGCGACGCGCTCTCGAGCGCAGTAATTGCAAGCTACCTGCGCCAGCTTATAATTCTCTGTTAAAACACCAGCTAATTAATACGTTAATTACGACAGCTTTTTTTCTCTCGTTCGCTCTCTTTTCGTTTTAATTCTAAGCAAATAATGTATGCGCGCGCGGGTCCTTGATATATTGGGTAGAGATGTAATCGATACGAGGCACGTAATATATATTTAGCCCGGAGATCAGGATGAGATTGAAAAGCGTAATTTGCCGGAGAGTCATTACAAAATTTTAACCGCTCGGGGTGGAAGTTTACACGCGTCATGGGCAGCGCCGCGTAGGAGCTCTCTCTCTCTCGTTGACACATCATTTAATGAAAATCGAATTTTAATTGATTTTTAAATTTATCAATCGCGCGTGAGCGCGGCGAGAGATTGCGATTCATGAATATTCGCTGCTGCAGCCAGCGATCCAAGCGGACAACAAGCTCTCGCCGCGTGTCAGCGAGCTTCTAATCAAAAAACGATCGACGATGACGCACGTTCCGGAAGAAAGTTAAAGAAAATTCCTATCCTCCGGGCGAGGCCGCGATTAATTGCTCGTTTTACATACTCCGAGGCTACGTATCCTGCAGCCCTTTGTGCGTGGCCTAGCGCTCCCGTAAAACAATTGTAACAAGCTGCGAGGCTGCGAATAAAACGATGATATAAAAGGAGGATCGGCTGCGTACGTACATAGATGCGCTAATGAAATTCGCGAGCGCGCGCCCAGAGTCGAGAGAGCAGAAACGAGAGATAACGAGGAGCTGCAAAGTGCGCCGAGCGTGTAAACGCGGCGGGCGCGTATAAGGATATACATGTGCGTGTTATACATGGAGTACGCGCAGCGAGTAGCGCAGCGCCGGATTGCATTAATGACCCCGAAGCTTGATTAATGTGCGCATGCACAAATATGAGCACGTGGCGCGGCGCAACGCCAGTTTATGTGTACATAAACTTAGCAAAGTGTAAAGCAGCCACCGCCGTCGCTTGGCTCTCTCTCTCTCTCGGCTTGCCTGAACACGATCTACATAGCCGCGTGCAGTGGCATAGAATACTTTGCCCTGTGCAGTGTGTGTGTGAGAGAGAGAGAGAGGGAGATTGAAAGGAAAGCAGAGCTTTCTGCGCGAGCGGCTCAAGCGATTTGGAAAATTCGAAATTCAAGTGGCGTGAAGCGAACTCGATCAAGCGTCTGCTGCGGGACGCTTTGAGCTCTCTTTCTCTCTCTCGTTCTTGCGGCGGAGAATGAAAAATCCAATCGGCGTGACCGGTGTCAAAGAATAGTGGCACACGCGTACATCACCCATATACATCTATCTATCTATCTCTGCGCGCGCGCGCGGGGTCAGGCAATTTTCGGAGTCACCCTCGCAGCCGCCGCCTGGCAACAAAACGAATCGGAAACACGTTGATTGAATAATATTTCGTTTTTGCAAGCTCGCGTTACTTACAAAAGCTCATAATCGAGATTAATCGTGTTTGCATGACGCACAAATCCCCGACAAGACACACACGGCTCGGGCTGCCGTTCTCGCGTTACAAAATAATGTTCGAGCTCCGAAACAGATTGATGGATCCGAGCCGAGCTACTGGCGCGCGCGATCGTAATAACAATCCCGGGCTAACAATCTCGAACGTCAAAGAAAACAAAAGCTCGTGGACTGATCGTACGGGAGAAGAAAGAATGTTGTACGTACGCGCCCTACCCTCATACACACGAAGGAATATGAGTAAGAGAGAGCTTTGTATAAGGTATATATGAAAGCTCTCGAACTATAGCATGGAAAACGTCGCGATCCTAAAGCACATCTCTGCGGCCACGCGCCGGCGCAGGTGCTGCTGCTGCTACTGCTTCCTTCAGCATGAGCAGAAACTCGCGCGCGCCGAGCCACCACGAGCGCCGATTCGCGCGACACGAGTCAAACGCGCCGCCGTCGCCGTCAGTCGGTCTCACGCCTTACGCGTGTGCGCACGTCTCAGCCCTCCACCCGAGTTTACGCACATACGCTTACGCACGCGTTAACACTTGTATAGTTTTTGATCGTTCTTTTCCTCGTGTCGTCTGTCATGATGTCGATGAATTTTGAAACAAATATAGAGAGAAGCGAAAACGAGACTTTGATTGACAATCTGTGCCAGAACTAGATCGGGGGTTCGATAGAAAACAAAACGTTGAAATTATTGCGGCGAGTGAGTGATTTGTTTATCATGACGATGTCTACCACGAGGATATGGCTGAGAATCGATCGAACGGCCGTGCCGGACTCACGCAAGAAGCGCAAAAGTCAACTCATGTCGGAGTAAAAAGAGGTATTTCGAGTTTTTGGCTACTTCTTAAACTATATAATAATATGTACAAGCGGCGCAGCTGCAAGCAAGGAGCGGCAGCAAAACATGTGTTGACAGTCGGAGGCACGTTGACTCGACGTATATAGTATACGTATACGTACACGCGCGCTCTCGCCCCGACACCCACGTTCGCATTTGCATTTACAGCTTGGCGACTACTGTGCGGCGACGTTCGATTTCTTGCACTTTTCATTCTAATTTGATCGCTTTATCGAGCGAGTACGTATTATAATTTTCATTCGTTTCGCTGCATTATATATCTGCTGGGATAAACTTCTGCGCCATTCGGCCGCCTGATGTGTACAAAAAAGATAAATCGCATGCGGCAATTTCGTCAGAATTTTCTCAGCGGAGAAATATTCCAGGAGTGAGAGAAATTTACAGCGCAGAGGCACGCGGCAAAAATGTGCGCGCCCCAATGCATGCCTGTGCATGCAAATTATTCATCGTGAAATTTCGCGCTGACGCAGTAATGAGCGCGCGAGGAAATTATATTAATAAGCTCGTTCGATACTTGAGACATAAAAGCAAAGTTTCTTCGTGCATATCTGAGTGCAGCACTGCGCTGCAGCTGTCTTGCGATGACTCCTCCCGCGTGTTTACCTAGAGTTCACCTCTTATCGTCCCTCATGGCTCGCTCGCTCGCTCCCTCCTCTGTATCTCGTCTCTCTCTCTCTCTTACGCTTGTGCAGGTGCTCGAATCAGCTTTATTAGTAAACATCCCGGGCAAACTATCAAGTGGTTATCTTTGAACCGTTATTTATCGTGAATTAAGAGTGATATGACTTACTTGCATCTTTTTTCCGTACACTCGTAATCCTGACTTTTCAAACAATTTTATATTCTGAAGGAAATTACGTGCCTTTCTCGAGATAATCCTTTTTGCGCAAAATTCAAGGTAAACTCGTGTTTTTTTCCATCTCATGTGATGAACCAATTTTTCTTTTTTGTCTCTCTCTCTCTCTCTCTCACTCGACGCGCTTGCCGTTATCTGCTGTGATAAAGTACGTGAGCCGAGTTTCAGGATGCTGCAATGCTGATTCGCTTCTTCTATGCTTTTTTTATAAGTTTTCTTCCATTTCAAGCTGATTTGTTTTGTCTCTGCGAAAACTACTCTCTGCCACATTATAAAGTAACAATACAACTTGGGAGTTTAGAATTTTTCGTTTTAGAAGTTCATATCGTGTAAAGAAAAAGTATTTCTACACACGAGCACAATTCGATTATAGCACTTTATTCGCAATTGATCTCTTGCACTATTCTTTCTGGTCGATTTGTTCTGCGCCATGCTTCAACGTTAACGCTGAAAAATGAGGCTTCGGTACGTCTTCTGGGACATGGCAATAACAACGACGGACGCTAAAAGTCATTAATTATTCGCGTGCACGCTTGTACATAGGTGAGAGCAGCAGCAACAGCAGCAGAGAGAGATGCCAAAAAATGCCGTTGGCTCGGAAAGTCAATAATCAAAACACACGCGTGAAAAGCTGTTCATTTTTTTTTTTTTTTCATATTTTTGGCCCTTTTTATTTGTGACAGGCAGCCAAGCATCCTGCCGATCTGCACGCGCGCGCACGGATGCTTTTTTGCTGTCCATAAGCTTTTTCGAGCAAACATGTTAAAACGTCAAAGTTGATCTCGCTCTTTCGACGAGGATCATGCGTGCTGTGTGTACACGTGGATTGTCGCCGCTGTTTTTTTCTTCGTCATGAAATCCATCACTCGATCGCGCATTATGGTCGCGCGCGCGCATTAAAACGCTCGTTGCTCTATGTTTTGGCAAAGAAAACTTGGCGTAAATGATATTTCATCGATAGGAACACAATACTCGTTCTCAAGCTCTTTCTTTTTCTCTCGAAGAACAGCTGACGGTCAAAGAAAAGCTCGTTTATTTCAACTAGCTCATTACGCTGGAAAACTTCAAGCTATTGAATCTCTATATAGAGAATTCAAAACGATGAATCAAATATCATTTTTTGTAATTCAAGCATGAATTTTGGTTCTTGACAAGCCGAGCTTTTTTCAAAAGAAAAGTTTCCACGAGCTGCTGCTCCATTGCATTATCTCCGCGTGAGAATCTACGATTTTAGCAGCGATGATTCTCACGGGCAGGGCTGAAATTCTGTAGAAGCTGCGACCCGTTTTGCTCTCGCTCTTTTTTCCTCGCGCAAGCAAATGAAAAAAGCGATGGGCGCGTCGTATCTGATTTAGTTTAAAATTGCTCGAAACCCACATTCCGTAACTTAATCCACTACACGCTATGTCTGACCATATAGTGGCTTTATTCCGCAATTTCGTTCGAGATTCGATTTAAAATTGGCTTTGCGTCAAAGTGTGTATAGGTGTCTGTACGTGTATACGTGTGCCGTTCCCACAGAATGCGAGAATCGACTTTTAAAGGTTTTTACACGCGCACGCTGCAGTGTGTAAAGCGTGAACGCTCGCGCGCGCGAAAAAAGGAAACTTTTTTTTGTGTAAAGTCGTTTCTGCAGCGTGGCGAGTTTTACCCGCAATTGCGCGCGTGGGGAAAAGTAGGAAATGCAACGAGTTTATATATGATTTAGAAAAGTAAATTCCGGACTCGCTACCCTGCCGCTGCAGCCGTCCCACAGGATGCCGAGCTCTGAAGGAACGTTAAATGATCGCCAAACTTTTAGAGCAGCTTTCGGATGACGAGTAAACGACGGTTCGATGTACTATAGCAACGCCGTCGATGTGCGTACACGGGCCGGCCGAGAAAATAAAAATCTTAATCCGTTCGAGAGCTTTTCGCCGTCCTGCGGTCGGATCGGTTCTCCGCAGCCCATCAGCTTTGAAAATCTGATAAGAAGTTCGCCTCGTTTTCATTAATTGACCCGGCGAAGACACGCAGCACGAAGTTGCGCTCTGCGCCCGAGAAGTTTTCACACCCGCAGCTTTTCTTTATTGGCTATTGGCCAAAATACAAAACACGAGCTCACCAAGAAAATATCAAGAGAGATGCCAGTCACTTACAAGCGTGAAATAGTATACTCCAGCAGCTTATGGTATTTTTATATATTAACATCAAACATGTGTGTTTGACTAAGCTCCGTTCGCTTTGAAATACGAGACAGTTGTTAATGAAACTGACATTTTTACCGAGGATTATTTGGGATTAATAATATCTCGAGTTTGCCATTTTTATATAAAAGTATGAAAATAAATCATGAGCTCTTGATCGTTTGCTTTAAATAACATGTCAAAAATTATTGAGAATGACACTAATCAATGAAAAAATTAGCGGTCATGAATTACTTATTAAAGAATCGATAAGCCATCTTCAAACAGGTTATTGGTAATATTCTACTCCTTTTTTTGACAAAACTTCTGTATTTTCAATTCATTTTTACTTAGATTCTTACAATATATTTTAAGCTCAATATTTTATGGAAATTTCACAAAGATGACTATGCATCCCTATTTTTAGAATCGTACTTTGACTTATACAATAGCTTTCATTTTGCTACTTGCAGATTTACAGATAAAAGTCCTCGCCATCTAGTGGTGAAGGCTTGAAATATTATTATTGTATTTAAAGTGGTTAAAAACTGTTTTACATTTTTTTAAATTATAAAATTGTTACCTTCAGGTTATTTCAAATGTGTTTAATATTTTTAACAAATTTGTAGCAAAAATAGCAAAAAATAAGTTAATTAATCGATGGTAATGTTTCTAAAACCTTTCAAATGATGATTTTTCTATCACTAGGCTATTTTTAATTATGAGTATTCCTACCTGGGGTGTGATTCAAAAGATAAGTGGTAAAAAAAATGATTATCATACATTTTTTACCGCTCTGAAAAAAAAAAATTGCACATCACATAAAGACAGCTGTTTTTGTGAACGATTCAAGCTGAATGCAAACAGGACCCATATTTGCAATCATTGGTCTGGCCTTAATTGCAACGTGGTGGCGGGTTTTATATACTTATATAGACCATATAACTCGCCGAGCAGTGTCGCACGTTTATCCCTAAGGCATACAGGGGCGTGTCGGTCTTCCACACTGCTCGCGTAACTTTTTCCTGCTCCTTCCTTTGCCTATACTTGGACTCTTTTTTTTCATCGTTTCACCTCAAATCGCTTTGTTTTTTTGCCATTGAATCGGATCTTTGAAAAATATTCCCATCTTCGTGCGTGAAAGTTATAACAAAACTTACAATTAGGGAATTTATTTTATTCATTTGGGAGCGAAGAATTTATTTTACTGAAAAATAATCTTCACAGCTGTATTTGATTAATATCCTGAATAATTGTATTTTATTAAAAAATTAGTATTACCCGGTTGTGACTTGTAAATTAACTTGTGAAAAAGTATTCGCATCGATAATTTCAATGAAAATGCTTGCAAATAAAATTTTTCACAACAAGTGTCTCTTCAGGCGTAAAAAAGCAAGAATTACAAGTGACTGAAAATAGATACATCTTCTTGTTGAGCAACGCAGTCAATTTACACGCAACACATGATATTATAAATGATTGGCTCGCAAAATGAAAAATATCGTAACGCGAGAGACGCGCGGTAAAAAAAAGAGCGCTACAATATGTTCTTTCGAAACTGATTGATAGCGGCGTTAGATAGTTAAAAACATCCCTGCCATACGATATCTCTCTACCCCCGGGAACGAGAATCCTCTTGTAATAACGACCCTATATATAGGACAGAGGAGCATCGGAGCAGCTTCGCATGAAAAATAGAAATTCATTCTTAAATATAATTTTCTCTCCTCATCCTCGCCCTCTCGGGCTGTGTGCACGTATATATAGGCTCTTTCTCAAGTAGCAGTAGCAGCTAGCGGCAGTGGAACAGGCAGTAGACTCGGTGGCGCGTGTAACTCGCGTCTTCGTTCCAAGGTCGTACAAGGGTCGCCATGACGACGCATATATACGCGATAGCTATGGCGTTTCTTTGCTACTCGTTTTTTTTTCCTGTTTTTTTT